GCTACCTGGGAGGCTGAAGCCAGAGGATCATGTGAGCCCAGGAGTTTCAGGCTGAAGTGACCTAGGCTGAAGCCATGGTACTCTAGCCTGGGCAACAGAGTGAGACTTTGTCTCAAAAAAAAAAAAAAAAAAAACCTCCCAAATCAACCAATATCGAGTGCTGAAATTGAAGCAACAATAAAGAAAATTTCCAACCAAAAAAATCCCACACCAGATGGCTTCACATCAGAATTCTACCAGACTTTCAAAGAAGAACTTATACCTATATTCCAAACACTATTCTGTAACACTGAGAAGGAAGGAACCCCCAAAACTCATTCTGTGAAGCAATGTCACCTTGATACCAAAGCCAGGGGAGGACGTAAAAAAGAAAACTATAGACCAACCTCTTTAATGAACACAGACACAAAAGTTCTCCCTAAAATCTTAGCAAACAAAGAGTGTTCAGAGGCATGTGGCAAGAGTAACACTGGAGGTGGGTATTCCTCTTTCCTCATTTTGTCAATGAGAAAACAGCAGAGAGAGGATGGATTATTAAACTGTGGCATATGTACCCTAAGTAATACTACTCAGCCACAAAAAAGATGGAGACTTTGTATCTTTCATATTTACCTGGAAGGACTTGGAAAACATTCTCCTAAGGATCACAAGAATGGAAAATCAAGCCATCCCATGTACTCAATACTAAGTTGAAACTAACAGATTAACAACTCAGGTCCACATGAAAGAAAAATTAAATTCAAGAAGGGAGGAGGGAAAGAGGAGGTTCTGTAAGTTCCCACCTCAGGGGTACAGTGCATACCCAGATGGCACCCTTCCTGGGTGAAGGACTCAAGTACAACTTGGATTTCATCTTACAAATGCAAAAACAATGTAACCTAATCGCATTATCGTCGTATTAATCCCAAAGAACAGAAAGAAAGAGAGAGAGAGCCTAAGGCCACATAGCTTTTAAATGGTGAGAACAAGCTGGTGCAAGCAGACACAGCTCCAAACCCCCAGCCACGGTGTGCTGGAGAGGGAGCCGGGTCCCACGTGAGCATGTGAGAATCCACCACTGTGGGTGAGGGAGGGAACGACCTTCTAGGATTATCAAAACCTATTCCTTGGAGAAGCCACCACATTGGAACTCTCTTTGAGGTATACAATTAAACTTATTATTAGCGCATTTTCTTAAATGTTATTAGACTGTGAGAATCCGAGTTGGGGATCGGGTTTGGCACACTTGCTAACCCTCCCCACCCTTTAGGCTGAAGGTGGCAGGGATTGCCTAGGGCCCTGTGCTCAGGGATATTTCCTTCCCTCACTCAAGCTGGTCACCGTGGTGCTGGGGGGCCTTTAACATGCTTGCAGGTGTAGAATAGTAATTTCCACAGCCGTGTGCTTTTAGAACCAAGTGGAGGGCAGAGAACTTGGAGGGAGGTGGCCATGTGAGCCAGCACTCAGTGACATTCTCCCGGTTGCTTAGGGCACCCCCGTGCACAAGGAGTGAGTTTCTTTCTGTCTTACGGTTGCATCTAGGAAGTTAAAGCAAGCAGAAAGTGATGCAGGATCTATGAATTTGGCACAACAAACATACCACTGGGAGAGCCTTAGTTACAATCAGGGAGTGCTGAACTTATCTGATTTTCTCACGAGTACTGGTTATTTGTGTTTGCAGGTTGCAGAAATAGGTTTTTGGTCAGTCATGGTGGCTTATGCCTATAATCCCAGCACTTTGGGAGGCCAAGGCAATCACTGGAGGCCAGGAGTTTGAGACCAGCATGGGCAAATGAGATCCCTGTCTCTATAAAAAATTAGCTGCATGTGCCTGTAGTCCCAGGAGGCTGAGGCAGGAGAATCATTTGAGCCCAGGAGTTGGAGGCTCATACCAGTGTACTGCAGCCTGGGTAACAGAGTAAGATCCTGTCAAAGGGAAGGGGGAGGAGGGAAGGGAGGACGGAAGGGAAGGGAGGAGGAGAATAGAGTTTCTCCAATATATATCACAGGAGATAACTTGGAATGATGATATATTTAGCTCATCTGTCTCTCATCCAGGTGGGATTTTCACACTGTTATTTTGTCCAGAACAGAGCTCTGCTGTTCCCGTGATTTGGGATGAGAACAGAACATGTTCTCAGGCTACCATTGTGCCCCAGGCTACATTAGCCCCTTGACAAGAAGATGGAATCAAGTCCTTTGTGTATTTCACTATCCATTTGATTTCTCCTTCAGTGGAATATGGTTTCTATGAACCAGTTTCCTTCTTGATCTTAACTAAATTTCCCTACTCACAAGCCATGTCGCCTCTTAGGGCCATCCATTTCTTCATCTGTCACACAGGGATAATGATTAATACCCCCTCCTAGAGTGACTGTGAGAACTCAGCGAGTAATTTATAGGAAGGCTTCAGACAAGGCAAATAATATGAGCTTTAGCTGTTAGTATTATTACAAGGCCATGATTAGTTGGGGTTAGTGGTCTCTGGTTAAGGCTGTTCGAGGCCAAACTAAACTTTCCAGGCAACAACTGGGATAACTCAGTCTGTGACCAGGACCCCAAACTTTAAACCAGTGCACATTAAACATCAAAGAGCACAGATTAAACACGAATTCCCTGAGTGTCTTGTTAAAACACAGACTAGACTCTGATTTAGTAGGTGCGAAGTGGGGCCTGTGATTCTGTTTTCCTCACCAGCTCCCAGGTGAGACTCATGCGGCGCAGGGTCCACATCTTGTGAACCAAGGAAGGACAGCACATTGTCCACTATTGTTGCTGTAACTAATACACGTGCGAGACTGGGTCAGAAACCCATTTCAGAACAAAATTGCTCGTAATGACTGGGGACCTCTAATTGGAGCAGAGGTCCCGCTGTTGGACATTGGCCTATGTTCCCTAAATGCTCAAATGTTTGCACAATTAAAAGAAGTCAGCAGTTGCCAGGAAGATGTTTATTGCTATTGAATTAATGCTATTTTTAAGCAAATCAATGCTGAGTTAAAGTTATCTTCTGTCTTTTTTTTTTTTGCGATAGCTGGGTTTGAACCTGCCACCTCCGGCATATGGGGCTGGCACCCTACCCTTTTGAGCCACAGGTGCTGCCCCAAGTTATCTTCTGTCTTTAACTCAATTTTTAAGCCAATGGTGACCAAAAACTCTTGAAATGTTGCATTGAACTCTATAAAATTGTTGGTATGAAACTTATTTTTGCTTATAAAAAGAGCAATTTCTGGGTGGCGCCTGTGGCTCAGTGAGTAGGGCGCCAACCCCATATACTGAGGGTGGCAGGTTCGAACCCTGTGCCAGCCACACTGCAACAAAAATTAGCCGGGCGTTGTGGCGGGCACCTGTGGTCCTGGCTGCTCAAGAGGCTGAGGCAAGAGAATCACCTAAACCCAAGAGCTGGAGGTTGCTGTGAGCTGTGATGCCACGGCACTCTACCAAGGGCAACAGAGTGAGACTCTGTCTCAAAAAAAAGCAATTGCTTATGGTGCAGCATAAAAGTTGTGATTCCATTTGATAAATAAAAATCATGACAGTGAGAAAACACCCGTCAAACCAGGAGACAAATTTCCCCTTCTGTGATATCTGTGCAGATGAGTGGACAGGTTGGAGTTTGTATGTACTACCTGAGGGTCCCTGTGACTGACAGGACACCCAAAGCAGAAGGAATAAATCTATCTTGGAGGCAGTTTCCTACTTCCAGAAAACTAGTAAATTTTCTCATTTAAACAATTATGTTAAAAACTGTGGTACCTGAGGCGGTGACACCTGAAAAAAGAGGTACTAAATCTTGCAATTTTCAAGACTTATGTGTGCTGAGTTGTTGAGTTTGGGACACTCACACACAACTGAGCAAAGCATGGTTATCATAGGGACCAAGTTTCCATCTAATCAAGGGCAGGATGTGGGAGTCACCGCACCATTTTATTGTCTACTGCCTGATAATAGCTGGGAAACTTTCCCTGTAAAGGGCCAGATAGTAAATATTTTAGGCTTTGTGGGCCATGGAGTCTCTATCATAATTATTAAACTTTGTAGCTATAGTATGAAAACAGCCATAGGCACTAAGTAAATGGGGGTGGCTATGTTTCAATAAAACTTTATTTACAAAAACAGGCTCATGGCCAGATTTTGCCCATGGACCTGACTTTACCAACCCCTGGTCCATCCTTTTCTATTAGAGATGTAGGTGGTAATAATTCTGGAATCTCATTATAATCTTGGAATGTCTAAGCTCATAGTTACTACTACAAATAAATCAAGGTAAGTATAATATGCACTTAATTTGTTTTAGTCCTTTTTAATCTGAATTACCAAATTTAAAAACATGGATTTCTTTGTGGTTCACAGAGCAAAAAGTCTGATACAAATCCAAAATCTTAATTGTATAACTGTTTTATTAAAATGATTTGAAATTGTAAATGGTGATTTATTGAGATAGTCGTGTGAAAACCCTTAGGAAGGTGTTAAGGATAGAATTCTGTTTTAAAAGATGCAAGGAAGATATTCTATTCAAAGACATGAGGGGAAAAGCAATGTGTTCTTTTGCAGAGTAAAATATTTGAAGAAACCTAAGATTATTATGTCCAAATGTGGGCACCCAGAGACTGTGGCTTGGTTCATCTCCCTCTGTCCCTGACAGGCCTGAGTTTGATTATTTTCATATACACTATTCCTATCAGCTTCTGCCCATCTCCTAATAACCACCTCTTGGTACCTGTATTCTAGACCGGCAAAGCGTCACTCTATACACTGGAGTAGATGGCAATAGGAAAGGACTGTGATCTATTGATGTTACAAGCTTTAAATGGCAATGCTGGACGCATGCTTTCCAGCCTAAGTTCCTCATCCTTTTCTGTTCTTTGTGCTGGGAGGAAATTGTAGCCTAGTGTTTTTTCCTCCTGTAGAAAGAGCCCATCACTGAAACCCCCTCCCATGTACTAACACCTTCTTTGTGTCCTATCAGATTTGACACATAATAGCTACTTGGCTCACTCTGCCCATCCTCTCACCATCAGGTGTGACTGTCACCTGGCTCTGGTGTTTGAGAAGGGAGCCTGGCATCAGGGCCCTGGTCCTGCACACAGAGACAAAGCAGATGCTGCGTTCACATAAAAGGACTTCTTTGATGAGTGAAAGAAAAGAATAATGAATACCGGTTGAAGTTTCCGGCATTATTGTGAGTGCCTGGGTTCTGAGGAAGGGGAGGCGGGATGGGCAGAGTGATGTGCCGGCAGGCTCCTTACAAGCAGGGCTGACACTGCGGGGCGGGAAGGTGACTGCCTGAAACACCAGCTCTCAGTGATCACACCTTCCTTGTGTCCTCGTGGCAGGAGACATTCTGTAAGTCTCATCTCTATCTTGTGAATGTTTTAAGAAGAGTTTTTCCTGGTAGTGTGGGTTTATGTGATGACCTAAAGAAAACAACATCATTACTGATGTTTTATGCGGAAATACCACTGGGAAGACCACACAGTGTAGAAGGTTCAAACACGGCAACCACGAATGTGAGCATCCCACACCCTCTCTGCTCACCACGCCACTGCCAGAAGGAAGCGCGTATGTCTGGAATATTCTGCTTTCCAGATGTGACAGGGCAAGCCCACAAGTGTGTGGCAGACACATGATGATAGTTAGGGGTTAAGAGATGCAGGGTGTGTATTTGGGTTAGTGGAAACACACTGAGCGACTTCAAATCATATGCCTGAGTATATACTATGATTCTGAGAAGCACATGAGTCCTTCATAACCACGAAGACAGAGTTGTGGACGGTAAATTTGTAAGTCAAGGTGTTTCTCTTACCCAGCTTTGAGAAATCAATTCTTTTCATCACAAAGGTCCATCTGGCCACACTTCTCATTGGGCTCTATTACTTTCAAACCCAGCGTGGCCTGGTGGTCTGTTGTAATTTTCCCTGTAAGGAATGTACCCCAAGAAATAGGACTCATTTGTCTTCAGAAAATCCCCTCGTGGCTGGGAAGCTGCCTTGATAACACCAAAACCTGCAGCTGGGTATTTGCAAAAGAGGAGGGGATACTGAAAAGCATTGTTCTGTTTCCTTAGCAACCACAGAAGGAGGCAGTAGTTCCCTAGTTCTACTAGGAAAAAAAAAAGATTTCCCTATTCTTCAAAATCACTGGGCAGGTAGGTGCCTTCTGTCCTCTCTGCCCCTCTTCCTTTGGACCCAATACACCTCATCTTGCTTGGGAACCTTGGCTGATGAAGCTGCCAGGGGACAGGATAACTTGACAGCGGCCCATCAGGGAATGGTCTTCCAGTTCTGGGTGTTGTTGACCAGCTCTTCATCCCAGGGAGGCTGAGCAGAGACACTCGTGGGCCTGCCCCCAGGTCTCCTGAAGCCACCGGGCCAGCTCCCACTTCTGAGTGCTGAGGAGCCTGCTAGAGACAACTGCCATATCCGAACCCATGAGTATGGACTGTACTGGACTTTTCTATGAGTACTGGTCACTTAATGCCGTAGGTTGGTAATAAACAGTACGTTTCTTCGATGTATTAGGTAGGGGGCCCTGGAAGGTGCATTTGGTTTCTTTCTTATCCAGGTGGCATTTCCCAGCTACTACTTTCAGATCATGTTGCTAAAATACCTTTCAGATGTTTCCATGATTTCAGGTTAGAATCTACGCGTCTTTCAGCCCCAGATTGTGCCCCATACTTTGGTACTATGTTGGCGACCAAAGGGAATCAAGCCCCCCGTAAGTCACTGTTCTCCTGTTCCCTCAGGCAGGTGTGTTTTGCTACCTGTGGGCTTCAACAACTCATTTTCCTCCTCCATCTTCTCAAAATTCCACAGCTTATACCTGAAACTACCAAACAAGACAGGTTTTTCTAGCCTGGCCATCAGAAAACTCTAGTCCTTACCATGTACAAACTAACTGGGTGATTTATTTTACCCCATACACTAGGCTCTACATGCCAGAAAATTTCTCTACAAGACCCAAATGTCCCTTCTGCAAATAGATAGCAAATTTTGCACAAAGTAAGCCTGCCACAGGCCAGCGGGTTTACAAATAATCCCAAATGCCAGGGAACAGCACTCCCTGTAAATACGTTCTCCCCTGTCTATGTGAAGAATGGGGGTCCCGTGAGGTCTACTGCCTCTCCTCTCACAGTCTCAGGGATGCTCCCCAAAGTTCTCCCCAAGACTCACATATCTCCACAGGGAATCTGCCAGGGCGTATCTCTGGTTCACAGAGGAGTGATAGAGGTATATAGAAAGTCAAGTGACCCAACTTTTGAGAAAGCCCTGAGCTTGCTCCAAACCTTATTCCAGGCCTCTTGCAAGACAGTTGATACGTGAAGAAGTCTTGTAATGTCTCTATTTGTTTGGGTTGTTAAGAGACTCTTCTGCTTTGTTTTGTGTGAAGACTCTGTGGATGGCCATAGAATTAAATCCAATGGGATGGAACAGACCAGGAAACAGAAACTCGTGACAAGCAGAAGCAGGTGAGAGATGGTGCACCTTTGGCAGCCATGTCTGAGCACAGACAAGGGAGTGACATCCACCTGTGGCTGGCGCTGCCCTGTCCAACCTGGCCCACCCAGGTCTCTGCAGGGCCCCTCAACATGCCCACCAGCAGCTACTGGGCTATTGGAGTCCAGCCACACTCCTGGCTTCATTTCTGCTCTGCTCCATCTGGGTACCCCTTGATTGAACCCGGCCATGGGCTTGGCATCATCTGAAAGGCACAACCACCTGGACCGTGGCGCTACACAGAAGGAAGGAAGGGACTCCTCCACACCACGGGCCTCTGAGTAAACTCCCCACATCAGACCGTTCCCAGTGCCTGCTCCACTTCTAGCTCTGACACTGGTGAGAGGTCTGACTCCTCCAGGCCTCCAGGGGAGGGAAAGCCAGCAACAGAGGGAATAAGACATTGTCAGCCATAAAGAAAGGGGAAGGAAGCTGGAGGGTCTCCCAGCTACTTCAGCCCACGGCTCTCCTTGGAACCAGAGGAATGTTACATCACCTTCTTGTGCTTTTTATTCTACCACATTTATATGGAAGCAGAGCAGTGAGGAGGTGCTGTCAAAACCCAGATCCCTTCCTCTAACTTGTTCCCTCCGTTAGCCGCCCTCCTTACCTCTCCTGACCCCCTGACCTTTCACCTTCAATCCCTTGCTGCTGGAGTCTTGGACTGGTTCACTGAGGATGGTCCAAGCTTGCAGCCCCTGTGAGCACAGAGGACTTCCTCAGCATCCTTTGCATATTTGTAAGGAAAACGCCTGCGGTTCAACAGGTTGTTATAACAGGAACCCTGTAAACTTATTATCCAGGGAGGCATAAAAAGGGGAGAGAATTTGGTTTCCCTCCTGTAGAATATTCTGCTGGCTCCTACTGTTTTCCCTTGAAATAAATCAACCAGGTATTTTTTTTTTTTAAGAATCTTCACAGCCAGAAGGTCCATATATTTGAGTTTTTTTTCCTATTGGAGGTTTGTTATTTTCTTTCTTTTTCTTACTTATACATCTGTATATTAGGTTTCTACTTTTGCCTTCACAGAATTAAAAAGGCTAAATTTAATGACAATAACAATGTTTAACATAAGGACTGAGAACAAAAACCTCATAAAGAATGAATGAAGATAAATACATTCAGAAAAGAAATCAGACAATTGCTGCAATGAAATATAAGCAATAATAATAGTAGTAATGCAAAGAAAGTAACATTCACATTGACAGATAGGAGTATGTCTCTTATAGAATACTTTGATCAAAATACTTATTATTTTGTTTTTTCCAAGGTCTCAAAATAATAGACAACTAATATTTATAAACATAAGTAAAAGATAATTTAAAAAAAAAGATTATGCCAAATCTTATAGACAATAGAAAAAGAAATACTTCAAAATCATTCTTCTTAATCTGGATACACCTGATATTAAAATTGGAGAAAATATATTATTATAAAGGAGAAATTACAAACATATTTCACTTATAAATGAGGATGCAATATGATAAACAACATATTAACATTTTGAATTAAAAATTAATGTTTAAGGTAATGTACTTTGGTCAAAATTAAATACAATTTATGTGAGAATTAGTCACTATTTTCTTTCTTTTTTTTTTCTCCTTGCCCACAGCCGACTCCCTCCTTCTCTGTCTGGTCTCCCCTTCCCCCATGCCCCACTGTGCCATTGATTGTCATTAATTGTCTTCCTATCAAAGTTGAATACATGGGATTCTTACTTCTCCATTCCTGTGATGCCTCACTAAGAATAATGTGTTCCACCTCCATCTAGGTTAGTACAAATGCTGTAAAACCTCCATTATTTTGATGGCTGAATAATATTCCATGGTATACATATACCACGGCTTACCAATCCATTCCTGGGTTGAAGGACATTTAGGCTGTTTCCACATTTTAGCTATTGAAGCTTTTTTTAAAAAGTCACCTTCAACATACTCCATTTACCATAGTTTCATTTAATATTTCACATCAATTAAATTTGGGGTTCTGGTTTAGAAAAGGTGTATTTGGTCAATTGAAATAAATTTCCACAGGGGATGAAGGAGCACGTTTGTGAACAACCAAATTATATTTACCCTCATAAAGATGGATCTTAGATAAATTCATGTTTTATGATTATGGACAAGAAAAACAGCCTAACCCAGACGATAAGATACAATTCCTGTAGATTCTGGATTCATGTGTGGCCAGTCTTCAGGTTTTTAAGGAAACTTTATTGTCCTACACTTACATACATACGCTGACCTTCAATTTGAGGGATCTTTCAATGTATGGCATAGTTCAGTGAGATTTTTAAAGTACCCATAATATTTTTGCTGGGAGGAAAGAGGAGCCGCTATCATCCCACAAATTTGGGTTTTTCTTTGTTTCATTCAAAGTTTTGGGGATGGTATAAATGCTTTGTCTCTATACTTTTATATTGTATGGTAAGCTTTTGTCTTTTATTTTCTAAACTGTTAAAATATGTAGTCCTCAGTGACACTGTGCTGGAGGCAACTCACCTGTCACGGTTTCTCCATTGTTATTCTGAAAGCTGCTTCAGAGCCTCACAAAGGGAGGAATATTCAATGCTCCTGCTAGCTGAGCTTCTGACTAAACCCCCTCCCACAGAAAAACTTAGGCTCACAATCCGAAAATGATCGCTTTCAATAATTTT